ACTATTTGGAGGGAAAAGAAAACATTGTTGCATTGGCCGGGAATCGAACCCGGGCCTCCCGCGTGGCAGGCGAGAATTCTACCACTGAACCACCAATGCTTGAGGGTAATTTCGAAAAAACTCCTTTAAGACTTATAAATAAGTGCAGTAGTGAGTGGAGCTACGGTACTTTGCAAAAAATGTCTGTCTAAACTCTTAGCCGAACAAAAGATTTATTTGGTTGTCGGATGCCAGTAGTTAAAAGAGCAGAAGCGGATCAGCAGGCCAGCTTTCCTACTCTATAAGGCTGGGGGCGGGTTGCTGCATTGACGACTTCATCAGAGGGATTTTCAGACACAAAGCCAAGGTGGATACCACACAGAACTGGGGTCAAGCCAGTCACACAGAGGCGATTGCTCTAAGTCTGCAAGGGAAGCTCAGCTTCCCCTAAAATGTAAAAAATAAGTCATCAAATATATGTGTGTCCATACAATTGTGTGTACATGTCATTGACTAAATATGTGCTACAACGCGCTCAACTTTGTTCCGAATCAGCTTCTTATTAGTGGTTAAGACACGACTCTCTTCTTATTCATTCCCGCAGCTTCACTCATATGCTGGTTTTGTCCCGCCCACCGGACGGTCAGCGTCTCTGGGAGTCTATGGACAGTGGGCGTTTATGGGCTGGCCCACACGCTCAGCTTTTCTGCATGATGATTGGATGATCTGTCTGAGGCTAATCTATTTTTGATTGACAGCGAAATGAGCCAATCACCGATCTTTTGGTGGAGACATCCGTGGAAGCATTTTTCAATTCTCATTCTGTTCTGAGTTGGACTGGAGACTTCTTCTAATAATCTTAGCGACACTCTCTTTGTTGAAAACGATTTGCGACAGATTAATATTTTATTTTTGGTGTGTTTTATTGTAGTTGCTTGCGTTCGCAGACTGACTTACATCACCACAGTTAAGACCCTGGAAAAGACGCCTTGTTGGTATGACGGTCACAGATCATTTTCTTGAAAAGGAACGGAGAGTAGAATTCACGTATAAATAAACGGACACATTTTATGATCTAGGCCGAAATTGAGCTTCCCCTCCTTGATAGACCAGCATCCGCCACTGATACCACATAAAGAGGCACTTCTGCAGAACATTTAGCAGATAAGAATGCATGCGTCCCTCCGTAATGGCTGTTGACAGTCTGCCGTTGTACATATGTAATTATGTTTGTGGATGTAAATGACGCGTGCTTTGATGTGAACGATGGCAGTGTGAAAGCTCGTATGTCATTCGAGACCTATAACTAATATCGTCATTTATGTGTGCTTGAATTTACAAAAGTGGATTGATTTAACTGACAAAAGTGCTTTAAACACAGAAAGGGTGGATGGAAATGAAGACAGATTTTACAGTATGAACGCTACGTGCTCATGAGATAATGACCAGGAAATACCCGACCCTGTTTAAACATTCTCTAGTTTTTGACAAGCAGGCGTGCAAGTCTACCTTCTTCACACGTGTACGTTTGCAGAAGTGTTTTAAGCACTCGTGGAATAACATCAAAGCATTCATAGTCTTTGTATTTTCTCGCCGCGCAATAAGAAGTACATCGAAGCTGCTTTGTGTGAGCTGCAAAAATGCCCCCATCCGACCCCCAGAGGGGGCTCCCATTACTCCAGCGAGACGGAGAGGGGCTGCAGGCCCGTATCAGTGGGGAATTATGAACTCTCCACCAGATCCTGCATGATGAGGAGGTTTCTCTGCCGGAGCCCTTAAAGACAGTGTGGGAAGAAGACATGGAGAAAGTCCAACGTCATGCGGAGCACATGGAACAGGCAGGAGGAACTAGGTGAGGAAAATATCAAGTCAAGTACAACTATGTACTTGATATGTATAAAAATGTAGTGCTTCTCCGGCAGGCGTGCACAACCATGGACGCTTCAGCCACCATGGCCGAGGTGAGACGCTAATCATAAAATGGTGCTTAATAAAATAAGACGTGCAGTATTCCACAGGATTACTTGTTATAGATGGCTTGCACGCTGTTCAGAACAATGCATTCTGGGGCGTCTTTTTTGTACAGTGGCCATCTTGGGGGAGGGGGGGGGGCGTTGTTACACGTGATGCATGCACACACAGTTGTATACCCTCCTTCTTCCTCCATCCATCCATCCATCCATCCATTTTCTGATCCGCTTCTCCTCACAAGGGTCGCGGGGCATGCTGGAGCCCATCCCAGCTTTCTTCGGGCAGTAGGCAGGGGACACCCTGAACTGGTTGCCAGACAATCGCAGTCCTTGTTCCTCAACTTGCTAAATTACGGCATTTTCAAACTATTTTGACGACTTGCCAGATCTTCTAAAACCGCAATATCAGCAGAAAGTTACTTTGTGTGAATGAGCCATACACCCTGTAAAATGCAGATTTTTCCGTGGACAGACAGACAGACATGGTTTAGTACCTGCTGTTGATGACATGCTCTGTCGGTCTGTGACACACCGCCTGATGAAAGATTAAAAATCATTGGAGGATTACAACTATTCAGTAAGCAGATGGATACAGAGTGTAATCTTAAAAATCTTAACCGAGGAAGCTATTGCATGGGCTAGGAAACTGTTGTGTGTTGTTTATGTTGTACCTGTTCTGTTGCTCTATTGCACATACAGTAGCCACACAGTGCAGTGAGCTTTTGTTCTTCTACAATAAATAAAGTTGTTGTTAGCACTTTATCTGCGCATTGTTGAACGTAATTACTCTATGTGGCGAGGAAGCTTCATGTTTGTTAACTTTTTCGGGTGTTGTCAAGTAGACGGTGAGTGAAAAAAAATCCAAAGTGGAAGTGTCGAAAAGTGCAGGCGACCTAGATGCCTACTTGTCATTTGCCTTGTAGGGATGCGTAGCATATCACACCAGCAAACAGCTGCTCCTATATAATCATCAATAGCTTCCACCTTGAATTTTTTTTAAGGTGCAGCCATCCACCCATTAATTATCTGAAGCGTTCGTCTTCACGAGGGTTGCAGGGGTGCTGGAGACGATCCCAGCTGTCTTCAGGGCAGGCAAGGCACACATTGACTTCCAACCATTCACATTCACAGTCATCTCATGCATGTCCAGGACGTACAAATCAATAATGAAGACAATTCAGAGGAGTGTACATGAAACTTTTATAAAACTTTGCATCTTTTCCCTGCATTCTTGACATGTTTATAAATGATGCCGCAACTTAAATTGAAGGTGACACTGTGGCCTTCTACAAAATGTTCCCGCCTAGAAATTCTGAGGGAGAAAAGAAGGTTGGAATTCAAGATTTCCATGTCAGGAAGGCAATCAGCAAGATTTAACAAGTGAAGTGCAGCCTCCCGCTGTTCCCAAATTGCTCGAGTGGCAGAAACACTGAATGCTTAAAGAAGGTCAGAAAGAAATACTTTGTGCGCCTTCCTCGTGGCCAGCTGAGTGCTTTGCGAAAATATTCCCTGTCATTGAATTGAACAAGCAGATGGGACGGGAATATTTGATTGTTTAGTTTTGACATGTTGGTAAAACTACTCACGGTGTTTGAAGAATGCAGTATATTGAGGAAAACTTTCATGAGTCATCTTCGTCCCCTCGCGTTAATAATAATAATCACACCAACATGAACTTTTTGTCACTATTTGAGCTGTCAGTCACTAATGGATATATTTTTTTTCTTTAATTGTCACCTCTGTCACTCCCACAGATCAGGTACATTTTCATTTTGGTGTGATGACTAATGGGTTGCTTTTGGCATGTTTGCTTGCTGTCACACGAGGTTAATTTCCATCTCATTTCAGACCACAACATTGGAGTTTTTGCTCAAGGAAAGAAAGACCAAATGTATTGTTACATCAGCGTATTTTCTGGAGCAGGGAGTGTTGTGAATGTGGACAGTGAGAAAGATGTTCCAGTCGCAGAAATCAGCTGATCATTTTTGCGTGTGCTTTATTTGACGCAAATTAGATCTGGACTGAAAACGGTCTTAGCGACCACAAAGGGAGTTAATTGCCACAAAGAAAATTGCTATGGTGTCACACCGAACGGGGTAGATGGACGACACAAATGAATTTATTGTTTCACTGGCTGGCGATGCTTTCAATTTAGAAGGCCATTATATAAAATATCATCAGTGCGGCAAGTTAATGGATTCTATCACCTGAAAGGTCTCTCGCCATTAACTTTCAATGTGGAGACAGCGCGACCGTGCATTGTCAGCTTCTGAGACAAAACAGTGATGGCATCACCTTCCTCCAGTGTGAAAAATGTCCTTGCCCGCTTCTGGGAGGTAGAAGCAAGCCCAAGTAAGACCAGGAGGTGTGGCATAGGAATAGGTAGACAGCAAGCTTATTATAATAAATACTCGTGAAATAACTAGGAACTAAACTTGAACAAATATTTTCGTTATCAAAACAATTGTAACTGTGTTCAGTGGCCATGCTCTGACCAATTTACGCAAGCCCCGAAAATACAGCTGCACAACAATAGCAAGTGCTGGGCTGGCATGCAGCCCTGAACGAGACCACACAGCTCAGCTATTCACCCGACAATAACTGAGTTTTCGTCCATGTTTTATCTTCATCGCTGATGACCTTACCTGCTCACCTTTTTCACCAAAAGGCCGTGAGGCAAATCATTGCCCTCCTTCAGCCCCCCTCATCCCCGGCCCATCAATCTCCTCCGCTACTCACCAGTTGCCCTTCCTGAATAATGAGGTCGCAATCAATATAAAGCTACTCCTTCTTTTATCAATCAAAGTCTATTATCGCTGCTATGCTACGGTTCATAGATAAGAAGAATGTATTTGAAAGAAGTCTGAGGGCATTAAGAATATGCTGCTGCGATGCCGTTCACACAGATGATTCAAATTTTCGAACTCTTATGACATTGTGGGTAATTTGTTTTGTGTATGTGCTGTCCTGCAGGCATGTCCTCTCTCTCCTGAGTGTGTGTGTGTGTGTGTGAGTGTATGTGTGTGCGTGTGTGTGTGTGTGTGTGTGTGTGTGTGTGTGTGTGTTTGATTGCGTGAATGAGGAGCAGCTGTCACCGTTAAGCCTTTCCCGATTGCCGATACGCAAGTGGTCAAGGAGTGGGTCGCCTGATATTTTAAACAGCTGCCTCCGGCCTTTCCACCACCAGAGAATGTCGGTTAGTTCTTGATTCGTGTATGGTCACTATAACAAAGTGTTTTCCAACTGATTGTTTGGTACTTTGTGGAGACTCTGTTGGCGTATCTCGAAAGCTGTAGGACAGCCAACGTTAATACCTTTAAGTATCTGGAAAGTCAAGTCAGTCAAGCAGAGCAGTTACAGTTGGGGGAACCATTTTGGTGGGTTTTTTTTCCCTGCTGTTTTTGATTTATTGAAAGTGGGTTAGAATTGTTGTCTTTTATTCAACCCTTATTTTGTTTAGGCAAGGTAGGGATTGTTTAGATTGTTTTGTGAATGTTGACCGTATCTCCCTTAACAAATAAAACTGCTCCATTAGGACTCAGGTCACTGGTCTTGCTGGCCTTTTCTGGGAGTGGGAAGACTGCGGGAGCACTCTTGCATGTTGCGTCCAAGGTTCCCCTACACTAGGACAAAACACAAACACAGCAAAATCCAATGGATGAGTCATTTGAATGAGTTGCCTACCCCACGCACTTTGGAACAGGTCAGTTGGTTTCTCAGATACCTCACGACCAATCGTCGAGTAAGTCACATTACATGGGCTACGATGTGTCAAGGCAAATCAAAATCTGGTATGAAATGCTACGTTTGTCTGCGTCACATCTGTCAAAATCGGGCTAGTTTCGTGTAGTCTGATGTCAACTTCAGACTTTCCACTCTTCCCGCTGATGAAGTCCTTTGTGTTGGTGGTGTCTTTTGGCCCGTTATCTTGTTACATGAAGCTTCTCCTGATCGTTTAGATTCATTTTTCTGTAAATTGCTAGATAAAGACGTTTTGAATTCATTCTGCTGCGACATCAAGACTTCAAAAGATGCCAACCACTAATCAGCAAAAAGAATCGACGTGATGTTCCAATAATTTGCTCACTTAAAAGTGGGTTGCTTCAAACACAAGGTCCACTGTCTTGAGTTGTTTAACAAGTCTAGATGTACATACCATAAAATAAACTACTGGTAAATAAAAATTCTGAACTTGTGCCTCATAATCTTTTGATCTGAAACCCAAATGTCTTTGGTATACAACAAAAACAAAGGAATTGACCGTGCCGTTCCTAAACCTTTGGAGGTGACCGTCAATGAAATTCCCAAACAAGTGCATTAAAGCTTGCGTCAGCACGAAAATCAGAATACGGCAGTTTTTATGCTCGAGCGCAGATGGGCTGCATACGAATAAAGAGCCCTATGTTTTAAGCCCCAATCTACATTTCGTTCATTAGTGTGGTTCTTTGAGTTTATATTTGAAGGAAAAACAACACATTTTCATACTCCCTGATATATTTATGTTGGGTTTATGGCAGGGTTCATGCTTTATTTTATTCATTTATTTTGATTTATGCCAAAGTGAAACATATTTTACTTCCGTTTGTACTTAAGTAAAAATGATTTTGTTTTGAAAAATTGCTTTTTCCGTTTATCAGGTATTGTTTGATTTTCGGCATGAGTCATGAGTTGTGCTGCAAAAATAGACGTTAAGTAGAGGAACACGCCACAACACTGATGGACGCAGTGCTTTGTATTTATTTTGAAAAATAAAATATTTGTTCTTTCATATTATAGAACAGAAACTACCAGATGAGAGGTGCAACAATTAATTGACAACTAATCAAATTAATTCCAAATATTTTTTTTATTATTGCTACCTCGTTAAATTTAAAACTGTCCATAACCTTCGAATTTAATCTCAGCAGTAAATATTTACATATTATTATTGTCTCTCCATAAAAGCAGTGATTATTGTTTTTTTTTTTTTTGCAAACATCTGTTTTTTTTTCCCTTTGGAAAAACAATTGTCAATATTTTTGCTGATTTTCTGACAGTTATTACGGGCTAAACCTGTCACTGAATCGTAATTAATTTGTGCGGGGTTTTTTTGGGGGGGGGGCATGGTCATTTGGAAAGAAAAGGATAGAAATTAAAACATCTTTAAATTTGATTGTTCAATTAATCGCAAAAATAATCGATGATGAAAAAAATCATTAGTTCCAGCCCTACAGCTGACATTCATCCTGTATGTTGTAATGATGAGCCAACAATGATTGATCATGTTTTAATTTGACAAATTCATTGAACAGTTGTATACATTTTCCTTTTTGAAAATGCCTTCGCAGCTACAATCGCACTCAGAAGCGCGCCGACCTACGCCAAGGATTAACAATCCTAGACTGACATGTTCCACTCCAGGCCTGCAGGTGCAGCTTGGCCCCAATGCAAGCGGATGGTGAACATCAAGAGCTGTGATGACTAAATGACTGTAATTTGCTGTCATTTGGCATGTGTCACCACTACAAAATGTGTCATTGTTGTGAAGCTTTTGCATTAACTCAGGAACAAACCAACAAAATGTAATTCAATATGTTTCAGTCTTGTGCTCCACAAAGGCAATAATTCCATCCTTGAGTCATTCGTCTGCAAGTGCACTCAAGTGACACTTTGTAGTTGTTTCAGCGGCGATGCATCCATTTTCCTGATTTGTCCAGTTTGCATCTCAGGATTGATTTGTCATTATGTGTATATTGTTTTAGTGATATATTTGTGCTTCAGTCATTGTGAGCACCTTTTGGTCATGCGCATTCATTATGTACTGTATTGATAAAATACTGATATGTATTTAGTGAAATTATTCATACCAGATTTGATTTGACTACTCTATATGAAATAGAATATTTTTTTACTTCCAAAAAGATGTCTTCCTGGTAAAGAATGAAACCCCTTGAGTGGTGATTTAGTTGCTGCAGCTGCGAGACTAACTCCAACTAATCAATTAGGCACCATCAAAGCTTAAATCCATGAATGGGAAGTTAAATGAGTTGTAGAGCCGTTGGGCACCTGGATGGGAACTTTGGGATACACGGGCTCATCTCCTGACATTCAAACTACAAGTGTAAGTACGCTCTTTGTCGTTATCTGCACAAACACACCGGAGCGCTCGCGTCCTGTTTCCTCCCGCCGTGTGAAAGGTCAAACAAACAGAGTGACAGCGGGGATGGCTCTGGGCCGCTTCACGAGGTCGCGGCCACGCTGCAGCAGGATGTCGCTGACTTCTCTGCTATGTTGACATGCACCGGGGTGAGACCTGAGCTTTTATTTTGGATGCAATGATTTGTGCAGATTGCAAAAAGCCAGCGTCTGTGACATTATCGGGGTGTGTTAGTGCCCATGAAATGGCTCACTTGTCCATCTGTGAAGGCACCATTAATGCTGAAAAGGTGCATGCAGGTTTTGGAGCAATATGCTGCCGTCCAAGTAATGCCTTTCTCTGAGATAGCTCATGTTTCAGCAAGGCAGTGCCAAACCACATTCAACACGGTTACCGCAGTCCAGTCCAGTCTCCCACTTACGAAGCACAAACCACTAGATCGGAGGCCCCGAACTTTTTGCGCTCCTTACGATTTACGTCCAGCAAGAATTGGGGATACAGAATGACATTTCTCCATTTGAGCCCCCTCTCAAACTGTTTGTCCTGTTTGATAAACAGATGATGACGGTAGCTCAGATTGTTTTTCTTCACTACTTTTGTTTCTGAAGCTCACTTGGACAAGTGTAAGCTTGTCATTTGAAAAACCCATTGGTTGGGGCACTTGTGAGACAAGGTACCACTATATTTAGCCAAATACATCTGCCGCACACTTCTGAGATTTTGCATTCAAATCTTCACATTGTCCAGCTTCCTCGCACATTCTAAAAACCTGCATGGTTGGTTAACTGAAGACTGTAAATCTTCCAAAGGTTTGCAATCTGAGTTTAAATGCTTGTTTGGCAACCAGTCCAGGGTGTACCCCGCCTCTAGTCCAAAGTCAGTTCTAAAGCTCCAGTTCCACCCGTGACTTGAATGAGAATCAGTAGTACCAAAAGTGAAAGAATGGGGAGTAAGACAAACAGCAACAGTCAAACCTGCCAAGGGAACTGCGCTTCCACATGCATCACTGAAATGTCTTAAATCATGAAATCTCCGCAGTCAACACTGCTGCAGTTTTTGTTGAAAAATAGTGGAAATACCGTTTACCTATTTTGTAGAGGTTCAGTGCCTTCCTCAAGGGTATCAGGATTGTTGGGAAAGCAAAGTCGCCTATTTCAACAACGACTGTTTGGCAGCATTCATGAAACGTGGATCATGAGCCTTGATTTCACCTTAAAAAAAGACCCAAACAAACAAAAAAACATCACAAATGAGAGTCAAACCTTTCCAGAGAATGCCCATTGACGTGTGAGTTCACTTTCCAAAACCGCGCATGGTGGGTTAATTGAAGACTGATGTTTCCTCTCGGTGTCAAAGTGAGTGTGGATAGCTGTTTGTCAGTCTGTGCCTCACAACTGGATGGCGATCAGTCCACGGTATACCTGGCCTCTCGCTCAAAGTCAGCTGAGATAGATTCGAGCTTACCCACTACTCCAACACAATGCCTTGCTCAGAGGCACTTCAAGGGCAGTCAGCAAGCAGCAGACCAACATCTATTTCAAATTGAATTTTGCCTGCAGCAGGATTGTATGTGCGCCTAATATGCCTCTTGCTTCAAGGTTTTGTTTGTTTGTTTGTTTTTGTATTTCAGCATTAAGGGCAAGAAAGCCACTGTTGCATTCCTGGATAAATGGCACAGCATTTGACCAACAGCCATGCCGAATGGTCACCGCAAAAGTGTGCCGCAGGGTCTCAGATGTAAACGTCAACCACTCTAGTTGTGAGTCGTCTTGTCCTCAACGTTCCCTTCATGCGGAAATCACAACAATATCTTCCATCTAAAAGGCTTCCCATGTTATTATAATACAAGGTCTGACAATGGATGGTGTTTGGGGCCAGCACGTAAAAGGATATTCTGCAGGGCATGGATTAATACTGCCGAAGCTGCGTGGACAATTCTCCTGTCGAGCCCACCACAATGACTCATGCAGCAATTTGAAATCCGCAAGTCCACAACAATCAGACATCAATCAATAGGTAAGTCTTCTGTCAAGGGCTGTTTGAAAGTTGTCGGACACTTTGTATTCTGCATTACTGTCACCGCAAGACAGGAATGGAACATGAGGCTAGTATAATTGATTTAGGAGCTTTTATCACAAGCTTGAGTTATCGCTATTAGGAGCTTCTGAGATGTCTCTGTTGAATGTAGTCTTTGTTATCCTGGCCAAATTTGTACAGTATCTCTTAAGGACCCTGGAATATGAATTCAGAGATTTGTCTGTCATGATTCTGTTTTGGTTTACATTACATTTGGTTTTGTTTCACAGTTTTGTGTCCTCATGGGCTTTTGTCTCCCTCGTTTTGTTTTGGTTTCCACCTGTTTTTGTCATCCGGGTCCCTTGCGCCAACCAGTCAGCTTCCTCAACCCTTTGTGACTGTGTTTCTTGTTGTGTCGTCAGTCTGCATGTATTTAGTTCCCTGGGTTCTGTCAGTCTTTGTTGGATCATTGTTGCTGTCACGTTGTTTTGTGTTTTTGTCATGGTTTTTGTTTGTTTATTTGTTGCTTTGGTTTCTTGTGTTTTTCAGGACTTTCTATTTTTGGTTTAGTTTTTCCAGTCTACCTCTGCAAGTGTTTTTTTATTTTTGTATATGATTCATGTTTGAAGGCAGTGGCGGCCCGGTAGTCCAGTGGTTAGCACGTCAACTTCACAGTGCAGAGGTACCAGGTTCAATCCCAGCTCCGTCCTCCTTGTGTGGAGTTTGCATGTTCTCCCCGGGCTTTCTGGGTTTTCTCCAGGTACTACGGTTTCCTCCCACATTCCAAAAACATGCATGGCAGGCTGGTTGAACACTCTAAATTGTCCCTAGGTGTGAGTGTGGGCATGGATGGTTGTTCGTCTCTGTGTGCTCTACGATTGGCTGGCAGCCGATTCAGGGTGTCCCCCGCCTACTGCCCGAAGACAACTGGGATAGTCTCCAGCGCCCCCCCCCCGCGACTCTAGTGAGGATAAAGCGGTTCGGAAAATGAATGAATGAATGAATGGCTAAATGTTTGAAGATAATTGCTGAAAACATGCAAAGACTGAGACGTACATTTTGTATGACTGATTTGTGGAGATACAGTATACCCAAAGACAGATTTTCAGTTTAACACTATACTGAGCGTGGTAAAAGTGGCACCCGGGAATGCACATTGGTGTCTGGCATGAGTTTCCCCTCCCCAACAGTAGAATTTGAGTACCATCGTTCTCATCAGCGGTGATCAAGCACAATCACAAAATGCAGTTTGTTAGGTAATAAGGATGCACCCTAAAATTACATCACTTCACTTTGGAAAGGCCAATATCACGGCCCTGTTCGAGTGCCTCATCATCGGCCATAAGTGTGCAATTGTCACACAGGGGATAAGGGAAGCTTAAGGAGGGGAAAAGAAAATGGTCCCACTCGACCGCCACGGAGGCTTTGAGCTGGTGTGGCCCTTTAAGAGCGCCTCATTGTCAACTGTGGGTCTGGTTTTGAACCTCATTTTATATACTTGACGATTTTATTCATCCATTCAAATTTGGCAGGGTTGTTAACAAAATGCTTTTTTTGTGTTCTGTCAAATTAAGAAGACATATAGTATTTATTGTCATTTCACAGGGACCTTAACTCTCCAACTTCTTAGCCACTTTCTTGTGTCATTTATAACGAGCAGATAATCATTTATTTTCACTCTATGTAGGTAAAATCTTTTTATCATGCACCTTCAGAGTAGATGACTTCGTGAAAGCCCAAATTTACTCACCTTGGATTGCTAGAGTTCTATATTGCCAGTATTTGAACACAGTTTTGCAAGACAGAAACGTGGCCAATTTCTGTCCTGAGTCAGAATTCTTCAGAGGAAGAAAAGCATTTCTCTGTTTTCACCATGAATCATGCTTGTCTTGGTAAATTATGACTGAGATTGCCTCTTTGGCTGGATTTACGTCTATATGAATCCACATGTCCATTCTGCTGTATCATTCCCCCTAATCATGGTGCTTAAAGTCTAATATTAACTATCTTGAGGCACAAGGCTTGTCCAATTCGATTACACCACTCAGATAACCCACTGTCAACCGCACACCACATAATTGTGAAATAGAGGATTCTGCAGCAAAGAGCCAAATAGTTCCCTCCGGAAATATGTTCATATTTGACTGACCTGTGTGGAGCTCTACGGATGCATATTAATACAGATGTTTCCCATTTATGCAAGGGATTTGGGCTAGCATGATTGCTCGCATATCAATGTTGTGTTCCCTCCAAATGCTACCATAATGTAGATTAAAAGTGAAGATTTTTTGCAAATGTGTTCATGAATAAACGGGACCAAAACTTGTCATCAATCATCATGGCATTATAATGAATGACGTTTTAGTGGGTGCCCTTGCGCTTGTTGATGTTCGGATCCCATTTTGGCTTACCATCTTTTTTTGTAGCTTTTTTATCGAAGTCTTGTTTTTACAATCGGAAGTGTGACGTGTATTGTAACTGCATCCAAACAGATAGTGCGACCGTGTTTAACCTTTCCAGAGCGCTTGACTTCCTCAACATCTGACGCACTTAAGAGCAAAAGTACTTTGAACAGGAGAATACGCGCAAAGCCAGATTTCACAGAGAATGTCCACATGCCAGGGTTATTCCACCCATAATGCAGAGTTGGCACTGACTTAAGTCGATATGAGAATCTTCACAGTCAAAAAATGCGAAACCTCTCATGCACATGGCAAAATATAGCCCGGTAAGAGCAGAAAGAACATTTCTTTGTCATGTGTGACTTTTGAAAGTGTTCAAGACAACCAAGACCTGCCTGGTGGAATAATGTGAAAAAGTAAAATAGAAATCACAATCGAGAGCACTGTATTTTTGCGTTTGCCCGACTCAGAAAATTTCGGAGGCGCAGTTTGTTTCACGCGGGAAGAAAAATATTGAGGCTCTTGCAAAATGACACGTTGGTATTGCATTTAAAACAGTTGAAATAGTGTGTTGGCACATCAAAAGCATAATATTAACAGTACCAGATTGTGTTGAGCTCGGTGGAAGCAATAAAACGGAAGGTTGGTCTCTCACTTGTCAGATGAGATTTGTTTGTTACCACAATCTGAGCAAAGAAAAATGTTCTATATATAAAAGTGTGCTCGGAGGAGGATGGCATGATGCACGGTGCTGGACTGACCCACTGGCATGCATCACAGCGTAAGCCACTTGCCAGCATGAGCTACATCCTTCCTTTGCCTCTCGCTGTGGATCCCTAATGTGTTTCCTGGCCTGGAGATGAGCCGGATGGAGTGTTGGCACCTCAAGGACGGATCCTTGACTCTTTAAGTTGTCTCTGAGGACCCTGCTGCATTATAAACTTTTGGAAATGACACAGCAGGGACCACCGCGGAGGCCCGCGCAGCCGCTGCTGTTGTTTGTTCTCACTTTTTGCACGGATGGCTTGTCTAAATGCTGATGCACGCAATGCAATATTCTATTGGACACTTGAGTGTTTTCCCAACTTTATGACATTATTGGTTTTATATTTGGGATGAGATTTGGTAATTCCCTGCCTAACGTTTTGTTAAACTATCAAGGTGATTTAGTGTGTTTATCTTGCTCTGAAGCTACGGAGCCTGCCGGGGGAGAGCTGGGGAACATTTTAATTACAACCATTCAATCTCAACATTGTGCTTTCAGGTCACAGAGGTGGCTCGCCATGAGGGACGGGGAGGAAGAACCACGCACAATGATCTCACGACTGCCTGTTACACACTCCTGATATTAGTTTCTTTGTTCCCGGGGTTTAGTCTCTATCATTGACGATAATGGCGTAATAAAATTGAGAAAGACAATCAGGCGTATACTGGGATTCTGTTTGGAAACCTGACTTGAGTCTGGAGTCATGCAGCTATACTATTAGGCCAAAAGGATATCAAATCGGCGGACAAAAAAGAAGCGCATTCATTTTCTTCACTTACCGCGCTGGGAATTAAACATCGATCTTACCGGTGTTCCAGTCAGTGGCAGAAATTGCTTAATAAATGACACACCTGTAAGGCTGGGCACAGTTGGTGTATTTATCTTCAGCCGCCCTTGTTATGTTATGTGTTTATACAATCACATTTAACTCGCTCAACTTCCCTTCGGGGACACAAAATAATGAATTTTTTTCTTCTATGTCATGCTAAATTGGAACTCATTTGCACTCTGGAGACGTTGCGAGGTGGGTGGAGGAGATATAGTTTGTTGGTCTGAGCAAGAAAAAAATACCTCTTTAATTACTTTTGGTTGTGCAGAATTCAGATTGTATAGAACATTATGTGCAGTATAAAAGTTAGTGTGCTTCAAAAAAAAAAAAAAAAGCTGATATTTTGACCTGCACAGATACATTTCTGGATATTGTAGAGGTTCAGTTTTTACCTTGTGGATTACTAACAGCTGACCTTAGAATATGGGCGCACAATGTGATTCATCGTGCATTTATTTGTGTCTTCGAAATGCCTGCGGTAACTCTGTATAAATGTCTGTTGACATTAGAAATGCTCAGCAATTATAAATTCCCCAAAACACTTGAGGTGCAAGGGCAAGGACGTACGGTATAGTTGCCTCTGCCAAGGATGGGATGTTTTCCTTGCAATCATTTCTTTGTTAGAAAGTTATACAAAAGCAGCTATATATATATATATATTTTTTTTTTTTTTCTTTTTTGGCCTGGAGGTGGAGGACGTTAGTAAATGCCATTTCGATGTTGGTTGCATAGCTGGATGAATGTTTTGTTCACTTCTTGAGGCGCACAATATTTTGCCATTTCCATTCAATTCCTTTATACACTTGTATGACAATTAGAAATGCTCCAAACAGAACTAAACTCAAGAGGTCAAAACTTTTTGTCATAACGTCTTCAACTCCATGTACTAATCTTGAATGGAGTTTTCAAGACTGAAAATAGTTTTGGTACACATCTGGACCACATTTGGTACAGAGGTGATCAGGGGTATTGTACGTGTGCCTTATCTGGGCCTTATATTCACTTGTTTTTGCCGCTCTAGATCAGTTCCAGCCCAAAGTTGTTGCAGATCTGTGAAATTACTCCATACCACACCTACATACATACCAACTATTGTACAAAAAGTCCAGATGTGAACTGGATCCATTTGCGAATTTGGACCAAATTTTCGAGCACATCTGGCTAATGTCTGCTCCAGTTATATTCTGTTACCCATATACCGAGTTGTGAGCCCTTCTGGATTTCTTTTTGCAGATTTCCAACACATCAAGAAGTTGATGTACAACACTTTGACTCTTCGCTCCACTTGCTCTGGTGTTTTCCATCTCAGTCATGGTGTGCACAGGATGGAATGATTACATCATGGTTCTCAATGATCTCTCAGCCGACACAATCCAATAGTCCGCTAGCTGTATGAGCTGGCAAGATGCTACTCTCGCGTCAACGTCACTTCCGGGCTGCGGCTGAAAATGATTGCATCCAGCATGATGCCGCCCTGACGTTGCCGAATAATTCAATTTAATTCATATGCCAGAAATGCAATATTAATCAGAGTACCGTATTTTTATTAGTTGTGGCACAGAGTTTACAATGTATTCTTGCGTTTAAAAAATTGGGGTTTTAGTACCCCCTTAACAGCAATTTTATTTCAGCATTGGTTATATTTTTGAAGGACTTTTAAATTATTCTGTGCACATTTGTGTATGTGGCAGCACAGTGCATCAAGGAATGACAACAAAACAATCTAATCTCAACCAAAAATCATCAGCATAATAATTAGTGCTGATCCAAACACCGAATTGTCAATCCCTCCACAAACTTTGTAGTGCTTTCCTATTACACATAATCATCATCCAGCCATCTATCCATCCATTTTCTGATCCGCTTATCCTCACAAGGGTCGTGAGCAGTCGGTGGGGTAAAGCCAATCACAGGGCACACAGAGACAAACAACCATCCACTCACACACTCACACCTAGGGACAATTTAGAGAGTTCCATTAACTTGCCATGCATGTCTTTGGAATGTTGGGAGAAACGGAGTACCCGGAGAAAACCCACACAGGCACGGGGAGAACATCCAAACTCCACACAAGAAGGTCGGAGCCGGACTCGAACCCTACACCTCTGCAGTGTGAGGCCGAGGTGCTCACCAGTCGGCCTCACGTAATCTTCAGCCACAATTATATTCTATTGTCACTGGTGGGATGTAATGGAATACATACTGTATACTTCAAACAAATGCCGATGACAACATGTAAAAAAATAGTCTGTGAACAATGTGAGACCTTGAGCTGTTCAGGAGTGACATGGAAAGATGTCACCCAGGGAGCAAGATCTTGGCCTCGATTGATTATGTGTTGCGTCTTGTGACAACGTAAAAACCACTGCAGCAAGAGTGATTCAATTCACCGTGTGAGAAACAACAGGTGTATTTTTTTTTCATTTGGAATCATGAGCTAGTTTGCATTTTTATTAGTCAATATAAAAATATGAACGACGCCATGCAATCATGTTTTTATTGTGTGGCTGTGTGGCCTTCTCAGGACATGTATTATGCAAATTGATAAAAGGGGGAACTTTTGAGTGTGTGTGTGTGTGTGTGTGTGTGTGTGTGTGTGTGTGTGTGTGTGTGTGTGTGTCTTGTTTGTCCTGGTTTCAAAACAATAATGTAAATAATGGACTTTTTTATTATTATTATTATTATTATTATTATTTCACTTTCATTCAAATCTGTATTTTTTTTAACTTTTACTCAAATGAAAAAAAGACAACTTGTACTTTTACCACAGTTGACTGACTAATACTTATACTTAAGTCCAGTACATTTTGAATGTCCCACGCTTTAGTGCAGCCTTCCTCAACTGGCGGACCGCGATCCACGACCGGACCGCCGACCTCCTCTGTCAGAGGACCGCAGCAGCGCGACTGTGTGTTGTATAATGTTTGACTAACTGGAGACTCTGGCTGAGCAGGGCATGTCGGCGATAACGATGCGCTGATTGGCTCCTCTGAACTTAAGGTGTGCCCATACATAAGCGTCAGCACGCGTCTATCCCAACACACACGCATTCAAAATGGATGATTGTGTCAGGAAACAGACGCATGCGCGACGCCACAGTTGTGCTCACAGCTTCAGTCCAGGAGAGCTGCACACAGACAATTAGACAAGACGAATCGCGGGAGGTTTCGATTGTGTGCAGTTTTGCTCCCGTCTACCCGGGGATCTTTGCAGCTGTTTAACAGCAGAACACCGCAACATGGTAAATGAACATCACAATGGCGTCCTCAAATAATATTTGCATGCCTCAGACATTGCATTCACCTTTAGTGGAAGAACAGCACTGCACATTCCTGTGCTCCCTTGTGTCAGTTTTTAAAATGGTTCTTAACTCCTCTTCTGATATACTGTATTTTTCAGTGATTTCAGAGGGGATGTGAAAAGGGGAATTGTACAAATGAAAAGGATATTTTTGTTTTTATGTTTAGTATTTATTTTGGTAAAATGAGTATTTTGTTAAATTGTTTTGTTAAATTAAGGGAAAAAAAAGACAACTACTGTTTAACAAAGTTAAAGTAAAAATTGTCTTATTTCCCTAAAAGGGCTATTTCTATTATTAAGCAGGCACAACTTAACCAAATAAAAGAGTTCCTGTGCCTCAACACAATACCTCTCATTATTTGCTGTGTACTGGCAAAGTGAATAATTGTTATTTTCATGCACCCCATTATTGGTTGGTTGTGAGGAGTGTTGATTTGTATAAGCTTGGCTTAACCATACTAAATGGGCATATAGCCCTGCTCCCCATGACCGCCGTGCATGGGACCGGACCTTGGTCTTATTAAAAAAAAAAAAAGTGGACTTACAGCATTTCTAGTTGAGGACCACTGCTTTAGTGTGTCACCATTATTGTAAGCGCACGAGTTTGAGTCACGAGGAAAGGAAATGGAACTCATACACTTCCGATGCATCCTTTCCACAAACCAGCTCCCAAATCCCCCGCCTCCCCAACATTTACAAACGCACACACACTTGCAACTTTTGGGATCAACCCAGTGTCCAGAACACACGCATCGCACGCGTCGCCGGGCCGAGTTTCACCTGAGACGACTCCTCCGTGGACTCACAATAGCATCAGCCCACACAGTAGCCTTTTCTTTTTTTTCCCTCCCATTTTTTTTAAAAATACTATTTACAGGCACGCTATTTAGTGGAAGCACCGTCCAACCTGTTGCTCTTGTGGAGCGGAGTTATTAGAGATGAAGACACATTCGAAGTTTTTCTATCGCACGTGGATTGGAGTTGCTTACGCAGCAGGTGAGGAGATTTCGAGATCTAAATTTAGCTCGCTAAAAGTTGGACCTGTAGATAGATAGATAGATGGATAGATAGATAGACAAGACGTTTTTTTAAGTCGAAATGTTCCATGGCTGTGGTGCAAAAATGTTCCCTCATCACAATGAATTATGCATCACCATGCAAAATACAGTATTTTGCACAACTGTAACGGAAAGGACAAATTTGTTGACACCTAACAATGGACTTTTTTAATGGTGTCAAATTATTGTTTTTTGTTCAAATTGATCAAATTTATTTGACTTGGGATGAAGGTGCAGAGTTGCTCCATCCTTCTTGTTTCACTTTTTCTGCATTTCCTGGTATCAGTACCTCAAGGCTTTAATTTTTTGTTCAAGTCCATTAATTACTTTTTTTATACATTCAAAACTATCAATATAATGTAAGACAAACAATGTTTTGGATTTCATTTAGATGTAGATCCATGGCAAATGTGTTGCTGATCCATGTTTGGATCACTCACTCTCAATGTATACTGTGATACTCCTTTTTGATTAACAGTACAATGCACAAAGCACAGGTCTCAAATTCAAGGTTCATGCATCTATTTGAGGCCCTCCAAGTCATTTTATTTGGTCATTCACTGCCATTCATAATTAGTTATCCATCAAAACATATACCGGTATATTTATCAAATGCAAGGGTAATTATGTAATGCCATGACCAGACAATTAGGGTTCCCTCACAGAACATATTAGGTAAGACACAAGAAGTGTAACCACCTCATGCTCTTGCCACACAACTAGTCCACCAACAAGCACAGTGCAGCTCCA